GGGACTGGACTCAATGATCTTCCGAGGTCCCTTCTGGCCCTAATGTCTTTGAAATCTGTGAAATCAACTTATTGTCAGCTGGAGCCAGGGACTAGACTGAGGCCAGTTCCAGATCCTTGTTTAGTTTCCAGGCCCTACTGACAATCGGATGATTGTGGACATCCAGGTTTCAGCTTGCTGGTGCAGGGGGATCCTGGGCTCATAATCCTGGGCTCCTCTTTCACTGGCAAGTAAGATGAGATTGGGATCCAATCTATTCCAAAATTGCATGTCAGCCATGTGTATGTGGCATGACAGGAGGCAAGATTGTTGAGATCACAAATTATATCCCATCATGTCTTAAAATGAATGTCTGTCAGTGACTGTATAACGCTGGATGCTTGCAAAGAAAGCAAATGTTATAAGGGGTTAGACCAGGGCTGACAACCTATGGCCTGTGGGCCATATCTGGCCCTTGGAACCATTGGATACAGCCTGCAGACTGGGGTTTCAGCATCACAGTAGTAGGGGGCTTTGGTTGCACGTGTTTTCTCCATGCTCCTTCAGGGACAAGCAATGAGGGTGTCCAAGTCCTAGCACCCACCTGCCTCTGCTCTGGGGTGGGACATTCCAGCCTGCAGCTGGAAAAGTTTGCCTACCCCTGGGTTAGACTCTTAGAGTTGCTTATGATGTATTCCCCATTTTTCTCATTTGTGTATCAGGTTGAAGTCACACAAGATCTTAATGTCCTCAGTTCATTTCCCTCATTGTTCAGAGGATTTGAACCCATTTCCCCCACCTTCCAGAAAATTTACGATACTGCTAGGTTATAGGGTATTCTAAGGGTGTCCTTCAGTGCCTGCTGCCAAACCTGTCCCACTTTCTATAAAATGCTTATTGAGAAACAAAGCAAGACAGAGCTGCCCACCTCACAGCCCTAGAAACTATGCAAATATGCATTTGTTGTTGGTCTGTATAATAGACGTTAATGATGTTGCTTATTCTAAAGATCAGGGTGGTAGCCGAGAGCTGCTAGAGTTGGGTATTAAAAATAAGATAAGCTAAGGAGTGTTCTTCCTTCCACTCCTGCTCCGACTCACACTACAAAGTTCTGCTTAGACTTTTTTTTTAAGTGTATTTCATGGTATTATATTCATAAATACACAGAACAAAAATTCTGCTCAAAAATTTTTTTTTTGCTGGATGTAAGCAGTAAAATAAATTGGAATGCCTTCCTGAGGAAAAACATTGCAACCTAAATTCCTCTTTTTTGGAATACTTTACTAAACGATTGTATTATTCTCTATTATCGTTTTGCTCTTTATAAATTATTGTTTTATAATTTGTATGCAATCTCTTTACAGAAAAGAAAATGGAAGGTGTGTACACTAATGCCCGGAAACAACTGCTAATTTCTGCAGTTCCTGCCATTCTTGTTCTCCATCTGAAAAGATTCCACCAGGTAAAAGTCCAAGACTTTAAACTTTTCAAATCAGAAGAACAGTCCATAACATACAGCCTCTACCTAACTGAGATTCACAGAGGTAACTGTCTCACAGAGGTATGTTAGGACTAATTTTAGGATGGTTACTTGAAGGAGTCACAGTGGCTGTGTTAACCTGCTAATGCTTTGTGATCACAGAAGACACTTACCAGGCCTCAGTATGATCCTGTAGATATGAACATCAACTCCCATAATAATATTCTGTTGTGGGGAGGAGAGGTGGTTGCTCCTAGCTAGTTCTTTTTCCTGTTTCTGTCTCCTTGGGCATGTCCAGATGAGAGTGTACGTGCCTGTTCAGGCATCTCAAACCGGTTTCAGATGCCAGAAGAGGCACCCTAAGAACAAAATAATGTTCACTGTGCTGCATACTTGCAGCGCAGGCTCTAAATTTGCTACCTGGATTTCCAGGTATCAAAAAATAACACATGGGGAAAAAAGCAACGTAGGACATGGTTCTGCAGCATGCTCTGAGGCAAGCAGAGCCTGGGTCCTCCAGAGACGCTCTGGCATCTGGCCAGAGCATCTCTATGGTTCTTCTAGCATGTGGGGCAAACAGGAGTGGGGCAAGGCTGTGGTGTGATCTGGCCCTAGGTGCTGTCCCAGGTAAGCAAGGACTAGGGATGGGGGAGCTGTGTAGTTTCTGGCAGGGTTTCTGGGTGTGTGGGTGGGTGTGTCAGGGGGATGTGTGGTGTGTGAGGAGTGATCTCTCTCTCTCTCTCTCTCTCCGTCTCTCTGTCTCTCTCTCTCCATGCATGCGCACATGCGCACGCACGTGCGTGCGCACGCACACACCCATATATAGTGGTCTTTTGTTTTAATTGTGGAATAACATGGATTTTGGGGTATTTTAAAGAGTGAATTTGGGATTTTTTATCAGAGATTTGCAGTTTTTAAATAGGGAACACCAGGATTCCTGCTAGTGGGGCTAGTGGCAGGACCCAGGCAGAGGAGCCTGCTCAGAGCTGGCACCTGGGACCCAGCTGGAAGGCAAACAAGGTGGCTGACCTCGTGGCCATTTGGGGCCAGGAGGTCATGCTTAGACAGTTCAAAGCAGGTCACCACACTGAGAACATCTTCCAGGCGATAGCTGTTCAGATGGCAGGGCAGGGGCACACATGGCAGCAGTGCCACACAAAGGCCCCTGACAGCCTTGGGCCCCTGACAACCATGGGCCCCTGACAGCTAGCCCAAAGGTGCAGGCAGCTCTGCTACCGTGTCCATGCCACAGCCTAGGCTGCCATGCAGTCACAGTCCAGATCTGGCAGGCGTGCAGACATGGGGCTGCTGGTCCAAGAGGGTGGATGCTGTCACAGGTGGCAGCAGGTCACAGCCAGACAATAGCCCCTGCTGCCAGGCTGCTGCAATAGATAGAAGGTGCAGGGTCCACTTCAGGGCAGGGCCGCTGGAGCAATCCAGCTGGCACAAGGGGCTAGTGTCCCCAGATACCAACTGGCTGGGCTTGAGAAATTCCTAAGAGCAAGTAGCCCTGAGTTGCTTGCTTCCACATCAGAATCTGAAGCAGGCTGGCCAGCCATGATTTCAAGGAATTTAAAATGTGAAAATAAATGTAGAAATGCCTAGATACCAAACCCTACTCTTACCAGCCTTTTTCTCAACTTAAAGCAGCCTAGCAGAACTGTCTAATGTTAACTAACTTTTGCTAGAGAAAAATTACCTTCCAGTACAACATATAGAACAAAATGTGCTTAGTATGTTAAAAAATAGCTATTTTTCCTCTCTTGATCCAAACAGATTTACCTCTCTGTCAGACTGCTGTATTTTTCATCTACATTCCTATGTGTTAGAATACTTATAATTGTACTAGTGTCTTTAAAATAAACCATTTTTTTCAAATAGCTGTTACACAGTGATAATTAAGAAGCAGTGGGGACAGTACAATAGGTTGCATCTGTACTTAAAAATGTTGTGATCGGAGTGGACAGAAATTGAAACTTAAAGATTTTTTCTTATTTGAATTTTTATCTTTTATTATTTTTCTTTTTAAAAATAAACTTGCATAAATTTGAAACTGGTAGTTCATGTTGAAGCCTAGATGTATTAATCATTTAAACAAAAAGTAACTTTTCAAGAAAGTATAGATTTTTTTAAAATTGTGGCAGCAAAGTCAGATCACTGAACTGGTGGAAATCTCTGACTAGGTACCTGGAACCAGAGTTTTCAGTGGTGCTAAACAGCTTTTGATAGCAGCAGCCTCTTCTGCATGGAAAATATTTTTTTCGTTTCAGTTCATTCAACTACAACTTAACGGGGAGTGTTTTTAAAATTGAGAAACCAAGTTGGAACAGAAAAACTAGGAAAGCCTATGCCTTCCAAGTTATGGATAAAAAACAAGGTATAAGAGGACTATATCTACTAGTTTTAAAATCTTGAAGGACATGATGACGAGAAATAAGTTTAACTCAGTAACTACAGGCAGTAATATTTTATTTAATAACGCAGTTTTAAATGCAAAGCATGTTTAGTTCTTATTTTTTTCTTTTATAGCCCTTACCTTCAAAGTAGTTTTATTTAACTAATAGAAAAGCTCTTCAAAATGCTGCTTTTTATTCATTTTAATTCCATTTCAGTTTCCTTCCAATACAGCCTGAAACACTCTGATACAGCCTGAATAAATCAATGTTAAGTTTAAACATACTTAAATGTGTATGGAGATAGCATATACTCCTGGTTAGCAAAAGGTGTTATTAATTTTTACCAGTGAATTTACAAATTCACTTTTCTTTAGAAAAATAAATAAAAGGTTTTCTACTTTTTAATTTAGTTCATTATTAAAATCAGTAGTCTAAATCATTGTGCTCTAAATCAGTTCAGTCAGCATGTCATACCAGTAAGTATAAGTTCAGTATAAATTGTAAGCATAAATTTTTATGCATTTATCATAAATAAATTATTTTGTAGCATGCATTTTGCTGTGGAGTATATTCCTCAAACACATTGCTTGTGTCTCTGGAACTTGAGTTCTGGTGCATTTCTGTGTGCATACTATATAGGGAACTGGTAGCAACTGCTTTATTTAGATTTCTTTACACTTTCCAATATATAAGCTCCAGTATATGAGATTTCCTTTTTTGCAAGGCTTTAACACAAGAGTATGCAACCTCCAGCACAGGTGCCAGAGCGTGGCATACGAAAACATTTTGCTTGTAATACATGCCTCAGGGTGGACAGCGGAGCTGGGGCTGGCACTAGGCGGCCACAACAAAAATTGGGCCCCTTGCAGCTCCCCCCACATCCACCCTGGCACACCAACATCTTACAAGTAGAGGTTGCAGGTGTTTTTGGCACTCTGCCAAAAAACATTGCTGACCCCTGTTCTAGCACCTCCAATGTTTGCAATTAGCCTTTAAAATTTGGCAGGGAGAAAGGGAACGAAAATAGTGTCTTTTGTCACGGAAATTCCGCGTCTGTGGCGATGAGATGTGAACTGTTGACAACTGCTGTTTCCTTTGTGAGACTTATATTATACAAGCAAAAATTGGCAGAATGCCAAATAATAATTTAACATTAATATTCTAAAGGTTTGGGCCTGTGCTTTTTCATGGTGGGTGATAGGGAGTTAGTGCAATTCTGTGTAACAGAATCTTACCTTTTATTCTCTGTAAAATCAAATAAAGAGAAATTGCATCAACATTTTTTACCAGATTACTTTGGTTACAAAGTCCAACACTCAAAAGTTGAGACATGCCAAATTTATGGCTGCCCTGCGCCTTAAATATGGCCTTCTATGTCCATGCAATATGATAGTCTATGATAATATTTAGTTGCATCTGTTTTTCACAGCACCGTTTCTTTTACTGCACAAGATGAATACACAAAGGGACAGAATAAACGTTGCGTGGTCAACTGCAGATGTGGTATTGCCTAACTTGTGAGCCACTCTACTTCTCAAACAAACGTTTCTGCACTATTTTTGTGTGTAATATATACTATGCTGAAACTAAGTGAATGCTTATATTTGCATTTATTACAAATCTTGTATTCAGTTTTGGCTTTTCACGTTATTTAATGGTATGGAAAAATATACACTTGAAGCAGTTTCAAAAGGAGTAGGGGGAGCTGTAATAGCAATATGCTTACGTATAAAAGACAACCATGGTAAAATATGTCTGTTTATGATCTTTTTATTCTCTCTTGAAGGCTGGTTTGAGTCTGCGGAAAGTAAATAGGCACGTGGATTTTCCACTGGTTTTAGACCTAGCACCATTTTGTTCTGCTTCCTGCAAGGTACGGTATATTAGAAGTACATTTTATAGATTTTTAGTTATTTTACAGACTAATTTATTGTAGATCTATGTTTGTAGTTGTTATGGATACAAATAAAACCAGATTTTTTTTCTCTTAGAGAAGCTATTGATTTAATGTTTTCAGACATACCCTAGAATGAGATCCTAAACTACTGTAAATTGGCATCGTTGAGTCAGTGCATCTGCAGAGGTACATTAGACAGCAGTGCTGTTAAAAAAATGATTTAATTATTAAACCAGACCTTTGTTTCTTAAATTAATTTAGCAGGGCAAAAAGCTGTGGTTTATAATGACCTGTTCGTTAAATGTTACATAGGAAGATTATTGATGTATGTTATAATAACCCACTATGTGAAATAACTCAATTATTTGTATTTTCTGTGGTTTTGTAAATAAGAATGTGACAGATGGAGCAAGAGTTCTATATAGTCTTTATGGAATCGTAGAACACAGTGGTTCAATGCGAGGTGGTCACTACGCAGCATATGTGAAAGTCCGATCACCCTCCAAGAAATTACTGGAGCATATTTCTATCAATAAAAATGGTCTAGGTATGTACAAGAAAACTTTTTCCCTCTTTGAGCAAACAGAATTAATCATTTACTACATTTTTTCATCCAATCACTACACACACGCGCGCGCACACTCTGTATTTACTCAAATATGAGGGTTTTTTCCCTAGTCAGCAAAAGGAAAACAGCTCCTTGTCTTACATTCACATACAATGGAACCTCATTAAATACAGTGTCTGTCATTAAACTGCTGCCAAAAGCAGCATATGCTCAGTAATGGAAACAGACTATGAAGCTGATTAAATACAGCCTACATTGAGCATGGCTATAAAATCTATGGGCAATATTGGACAAATATACTGAGGGGAACCTACCACAAAGGATAGGTTAGTGCAGCCCATCTGAATAGCATACATGCTAGTGACCATTTTTAGCCCCCCTGTAACAAATGAGGCTCCCAGGGCTGATCTAGTCATTAGCCCACCCACTTGTCTAGGGCTAACCGCCCTCCTGTCTTGCTTGCCATGCCTTAGATGGATCATTATGATGTTCTCAGGTGATAGGCTGCCCATTTAATTGCCCTGATGCCAAGGGTTTATACACAGCTCCAAACCTCCCCATATACTGTGTCCCATGTCTCGCAGCTGGCATCCATATCTATCAACACCCTGGTCCTTTAGCTGGACCATCACTTGGCCTCTCCCAGCCTAACCCTAGTTGGCTTCACCCAGCCTATCATCCCATACCCATGCACTGGGCTCTCTATCCTGTGCCCCCACACTGGGGCTTGTCCCACACATAACATCCTACCCCCCATTTGGGGCCTCAGGCCTTACTGTGGACCTGTGCCCTGCTGCAGGCACCTTTCTTCAGCCTGGACCTTGCCTCAGGCCTCACTTCATGAGCCTGGGCCCTGTGCTTTTATCTTCAAGGTGTGCTTCCCTACCCTTTCTCCTGCATGGGGTAGCCCACAAAGTGATGGGGGCTGAGGCTTTCTGGTGCCCCATACTCGCCTTTCACTGGGGGGCACAGGTATGGCATTTCCTGAGGACTGCCCCACCATGCCATCCAGCCCCAGCAGAATGTAGTTTTAGGTCATGCCTCAGCACCAGGAACCTCCACCATCCCCATAGTTCCTGCCCTGTACCTCCAAGATGTTCTGTGAGCAGCAGCTCTAGCCAAGCGATGCTCCCTCCAGCAAACTGCTGGCCCTACTGCTCTTATATCCAGCAGCTGGGCCCACTTCCCAGTCAGGTGGTCTCCTGCTGGCTGTGTGACACCTGATTGAGAGTACAGCCACCTGCAGGCTGCTCTGCTGCCTGCTTACACCCCTTTTACTGACGAGCATTGTTACACCCCCTTATCACCAGCTCCTTTTCAAATTGAGGTGAGTCACTTGAATATATTTCAACTTCCTCTTCACTCCCACAGCTGAGTTGTGCGTTTTTTGCCCATTTCCAATTATTCCTACTTCTTCACCAGTGTTAATTGTCTGGCAAACATTACCAAATGGGGTCCCAAACAGTTCACCCAGAATCCCTGTCACCCACCCTCTCTCAGCCTATCTCATATGTTTAGTGTGGCCCTGCCCTCCATGAGGTGGAGCCAGAATGTATTGCCCTGCACCTCTTCTGCATCTAAATTTTTGGAGGAGTCCAGGACTAGTAATGAGAATACCCAATTCCAGTTATGACTGGGGGGCTAATTAACACATGGATCCTTTATGGGGTACACACAGGGCCATCTTGGCTTGAAAAGCTGTTGACTCTGCTGGGGCCCAGCTCAGTGAACTGTGGGGTAAATCATGAGCCTTTTGGCTTTGGACTAAGGCATTCCAAGATATATTTAAGTGGTTACAAGGTAAAAACAAAACAAAAACTTGGTACCACTTAAGCCTATTCAATATAAATGTGATATACATGAATATACATTTAACTCCTGACTAATTGCTGAGTTTAAAGGTATTCTGCCACTTCCCATTGGGAGGCACCAATTGAGTTGTTGGATGCTAAAGATATAAGGCAGTGAACATTGGCTTTTTTTTTGCTTTATATTTCAGGTTTAAAAGAAGCTGTAGGAGCATCCACAGGACAATGGGTGTATGTTAGTGATGTCCATGTCCAAATGGTTCCAGAATCAAGAGTACTGAATGCACAAGCTTACCTTCTTTTTTATGAAAGAATATTATAAGAGTGTTCATCAATTTAATTTAAAAATTATAATGGTTATTTAGTCTATATTATTTAAACGCTGCATTGGTTACAGTACTTGCAAGTATTGTGCCTTTATCTGGCCTCTTGTAGAGAGCTTACCCTATGTTGACTCTAAATATCACTCATTTATCATCTGTATCTGAATGCCTCCTTTAAATATGCACTTTGTCTTGAAAGTTCCTGAATTCAGCTAGAGAGAAACAGACTTGAGTGGATCTGAGATGTGGTATAAAAATACTCTGTTGAGGTCACTGGGAGGTTTGCTGTTGACTTCAGCAAGGTGTTAAAACAGTAAAGAGTAAAAATGAGATTGGTGATATTAAGTGCCTGGGTTCCTTGATGGAAAGTAATAATGCAAAATGCTTTACGTTCATTGGGATTTAGCCCAGACCAGACCAAGGGCTGGGTTAGATATTTGAATTTAAGGATACTGCAGAACAAAATGGAACTGATTAGACTGTGATACTAGACTAAGCAGCTGGAAATCAGTGAGATCCTCACTGAAATGACAGTGATTGGATAATGTCACAATGTAGTTTTCTGATATACTTTTATGAAGTGATTTAAAATATAGTGTCTGCCTGTTAATGCTTTCTGATGATGAATAAAGTATTTAAGGTGTGAATACTTGTAAACACCATTTAAGTCTGATATGCTTCCTCTGAGCCACTGCTGATTGGCATTAAAAAAATGCCCTGTGGTATAAACATGCCATAAATCTATTATTTGCAAGTCTAATGGTTTAATATATTTTTTGGTAAATAAGAGAATTACAAATAGTTCCATATTATTAAACACTCATTTGCTGTTTTTTGCTACACATGTAATGATTATTGTGAGCTTGTATGTGAGTATGAATGGAATTGTTCAAGGACAACAGTAATTCGATTACTCTTAGTTCTGAAAACTAATTAGTTCATCTATTACTGATTTATGTTTCTCACATAAGGAGTAAGTTACAAATTATTTTTTGTATTGTGTGTGTGAGTGGGGTGGCAGACAACTCAGGCGTATGACAACTCAGGCATATGTATCTTCTTTTTGTAGTCAGTTATGTCAGCTGTCTGAATTTGCCAATAATACTCCTGCTGCTCTTGGTGTTCTGAAAATGTGCTGCCTGCGGCACCTGTGCTGCTCTTTTCCCAGTTTGTAATAGATGATGATGGTTGTCAATATTTGACATTAAAATTATTTTTTTTCACATTTTCTTCTAAATAATCTGTTAATGTATTGTAGCAGCTGATTGTTTATATCAGGTTGCTCAAAGATCCCAAAAGTACCTGTATTTGGTAAATAAGATTTCACTTCCATTTCAATTTACTGTTTTCATCTATGGAAACATTGTGTTTCATGGTGAAAATTGCCAGTCCTCCAAGCACTACCAGCCTTGCCACAGAAGACTCAGGACTTCAAGCTGATATAGCAGATTTCTGGTAACCATCTCTGTGTCTAAGGATGTGCATCCTGGAAAGCAGGGGACTCTACCATGGCTATATAGCTCAGAGTTAAGAAGCAGCAGTTGGTCAGGGGGCTTTGTATTTCATGGCCATATACTATACCGTGTGAATCTACTTGTTGAATGGCAGGGGCTAAATAAGCATAATGTATAGGTAGTAGATAGAGGGAATCTAATGGCCAGCTGCAGCATTTAGTCAAGTGGGATTTGTTCAGGTAACAAAGTTGAGGTTAGGTCAAAATTAGCTAATATACGGGCTAAATAAGGGCTGTCCAACTCCTGAGTGGCTGGGACCCATGTGCCACATGGAACATCCCCTTCTGTCTCAGTCCCTCCACACCACTACAGCATTCCTTGGTAGCACCCAAGCTGCAGCTGGACCAGTACCCTCTGTTCCCTGCCTATGTACAGAGGTTTCCTGGCTCCAAGCTCCCTACCCTGCCCTGCCCCACCCCACGCCGCCCCAAGTGCCATTTATGCGGGGGGGAGTGCTACTGCACTGCCACTTCCAGCAGCTGCTTTAGGACAGGCCATTCCTCCATGGGGCTGTGTTATGGTGTACGGTAACCCCGGTGCATGACAACCTGCACCCTCCACACACGCCAGCCCACACATCCACTGGGCTGCAAGAAGTCAGGGTGGGTAGGCAGGACACGGCTTCTGCCATTGCAGGAACTGCTACCATTGTGTGTGTGTGCGCGTGTGTGTATACACACAATAGCAGAAGGGATGGGGGAAGTGGTAGCTGAGCAGGAGCCTGTAGGCTGAGAGTTAACCCCTTGCAGGCCATGGGTTGGACAGGCCTGAGTTAAACCATTTTCCTGAGATAGATTCAAATGAATACCCTTGACCTTAATATAGCTGATAGGCTCCCTTGAGGATTGACTTTTAGGGGCCAGATCCTATTCCACCTATTGGATGTCCAAATGAATTTAGGCACCTAAGTGTGATTCTCTGTTCAAGTCTCGGAAAATCCAGTAATGCATCTGCTTTTGTAACACACCAGCATCTTATTCTAAAAGTGAATCACAAAAAAGCAGCAAAGAGGAGGAGGACCAACCCACCTTTTTTATTAACTTTTTCAGGAACCAGAGCAAAGTGTAATAGAATCGCACTTAGGCACTTAAGTCCACACACCTAGTAAGTAGAACAGAACCTGGCTTTAAGTGTCATTTTCTCCCACATAAATAAATATAAAATGTATTAACCTGAGTCTACACTAGGAAAAAGTTAATGGTTACTTTGTCACTAACTAACACATTAACTAATCTCCACACCTCTTCCTTTCCTAGCAAGCCACATTGCTTAAAGAGAGTTGCTCTTTTTTTTTTTTGCTTTTATTTCTGTGTAGCTGGTCAAACCTCTGACAGTCCTCTGTGGGACTCCCAACAAGCAACTGATGCTTCTTGAATGCTGAAAAAGAAAATCTGCTCCATAGAGCACCCTAGGCTTATACACCAGGGTTCAGGAACTGCAGTATATAAATCCATATTAATTTGCCACATTATTTTAATCCAAATGCTATTCCCTTGGGTGTGAAAGTGAGAGAAATCGTCTTGGCCTCTGTTTGCTCCTCCATGGTTTGGTCTTGGGGTTTTTGTTTAGTTTCTTTGGGTTTTCTTTGTTAATGTTGGTCAGAGACCCCTGCTCAGGCATGGAAAAAAAAGACTGAAATGTTCCATAAGTGTAGAGGGGATAAAAAGCATCTTCTGCCACTTCTCCTATGCTCTGGTTCGGTCTTATGTTACCTCAACCTTGGTGGGATTTTTTCCCTTCTTCTTCACCCAACCCCATGAAATAGCTCCTTTGTCTCTTCTCCCCCACCATGCAAACTGCTTGAACTACTGGAGCCTCTGTTGCAGTTGGGTGAGGTGTGCAACTTAGTGCTCCCTTTCCCTGCTACCATGCTGCTTTCTCTCCCTTTTTAATCCCCAAGTATCCTTGTTTGTGGGTTTCCAGTAGTTGCTGGTTTATGAATTTGTCAAATGCTTTGAGATATCTTGTGAAACTTTGAAATTCCACCCCTGTAGACTTTGTAAATAACACAAACTAAAATTCTAAAGACCAAGAAATGAATGTGTCTGTATCTCTCAAAAACCGGATTTCTAAACATTTTCAAGTAAGAGTTTTTACAACAGAAATTAAATGCCTGAAATTTATAAAAA